TTCCTAAGAATCAGGAGACCTGGATTCTACTACCAGCTCTGTCACTGACTGACTGTGAGACACTTTCCATAAACCTGAGTTTCATTATCTACCAAATACTATGGTTTGTAAGATCAGGGAAGAGGCTTAAGGGCAGGACTTTTCTTATTTGTATCTTCAGCAATAGGCATGATGCCTGGCATATACTAGGTGTTTATTCGATGCTTGTTGATTGACTTATTGGTTGGTGAGAGGCAACTGGACTTGGAGTCTGGAAGACCCAGATTCAAATGCTCCTTTGTACACTTAACTAACTCTTTGCACTTGTACAAATCACTTTACCTACATCTCTGTTTCCTCATCTGTAAAATGGGGATAATAATACCTTATCTCACAGGGTTATTTGTGAGACAAATGCAATCATACATGAAGAGCCCTCTGCAAACTTTACAGCACTATGTGAATGTCTGTTATTATGCTGGTGATGACTTGGTGATGATGAAGGGACTAGATTGTAGAATACCTATTAATACCCAGCTGAATGTCACTTCCATTCCTTTATGCTACCTTTTCTTCCAATAAATAGATACCGAAATAAGGATGGGAGCTATGTGCATCCTGGATAAATCTCTTCTCCTCTCTGGGATTCAGTTTCCTTGTCTATAAAATGAGGGAGATGACAACATGCTCCCTTCTAGCTCTAAATCTTATGCTTTTCATATCTGTCACCCAATCAAAATCCTGGCAGCTGGTGTCTACAGATCCCAGGTCCTTCCCCTTCCTTCCTCAATAAGTTTGGCACCTGGCTCACAATTTTGCTCTCCTTCCTAACTACTGTCCTTACTCTAGGGGACTTAAACATTCAAAGCAACTGACAACATTCCTCAGATACCTAAATCACACAGTTCCTCCACCTACTCATCTCCCATCTCCAACTCCTTCACCCACCTCAGCCACAAACAAAGATGGCCATACCTTTGATCTTGCCATCACCCGCAACTGTACCACCTCTAGGTTCAAGAATTTTGAAATCCCCTTACCTGACTGTAATCCATTGGCTATTCACTTTTCCTCTGCCTTCTCTTACAAAAGCCTACTCTTTATCCACTGTGACCTCCAATCCCTTGACCCCTCAATTCTCTCCCAGGCCATCTCCCCTACACCAACCATTCTCTTCTTTCACCCATCTCAAACACTTGATGAACCAATTCACCTTTACACTGTCCTCTTCTCTTGAATCCATAACCTCTTTAACATATCACCAATTACGCCCAGCCAAGCCTCTACCTTGATTCACTTTCCCCATTTGCCATCTTTACTTCTGCATACGTGCTGCTGAAAAATATGGAGTATATAACCTATATCAAATTGCTTACTGTCTTGGGAGGGCAGGGAGGGAGGGAGAATTTGGAACTCAAAATTTTATAAAAAATGAAATTGTCTTTATATTGGAAAAAAGTAAACTACTATTAAAATATATGGAGAAAATTACCTGATGGAGAAACCATTCTGGCTGAGTCCACCATAAATTTATGGTACACAACCTCACCTGGGCCTCACTGCTGCTAGGCAATTCCACCATACCTCCCTGATCAGCTCACTATCCCACTCCCCACAGTAGCTCCAAACCTTTTCATCCTTCCTCAAACCTCTCCTGGTTCCCCCTGCATCCACTCTGTCAGCTGAGAACTTTGTCTCTTAATTTATGGAAAAAAAATTAATCCATTTACCATAAGCCCCCTCTTCTCCCCTCTTTCTCATCTCCTATCACTCAGATGCCTTTTACCACTATCTCCTGTTTTACCCCTATCTCACATGGTGAAGTAGCCTTACTCCTTCTCAGGGTTAATCCTTCTACTTGATCAGGTGATGCCATTCTATCCCATCTCCTCCAAAAGACTTCCCCCTCTATAATCCCCACTCTTTCGATTATTTTCAATTTCTGTCTTTGTCTCTCTGTTTCTCTCTATCTTCTGTCTCTGTCTTTCTCCCTCTCTCTCCTGGCTCATTCCTTACTGCCTACAAACATACCCAAGTATCCCCTATCCAGAAAATATCCTCACTTGAGCCTTCTAATCCTATTACCTAATTATCATCTTCTATCTGCCCTTTGCAGCTAAATTCCTCAAAAAGGCCATTTGCAGTAGGTGTCCCCACTTTCTCTCCTCTCACTCTCTACTTCCCAACATTTAACCGTTTACAATCTGGCTTCTGACCTTATCATTCCACCGACACTTCCCTCTCCTAAGTTAATAATGATCTCTCATTTGCCAGATCCAGTGACCTTTTCTCTCTTCTCATCCTCCTTGACCTCTCTGCAGCCTTTGACACTATCACTCACTCTCTCCTTCTTGATACTATCTTCTTTCTAGATATACCATTCTAGATAGCTTGATACGGCTCTCTCCTGATTCTCTTCCTATGTATCTGACCGTTCCTTCCAGGTCTCCTTTGCTGGATCCTCTTACAGATCACACCCTCTAAGGGTAGGGGTCTCCCAGGGCTCTGTCCTGGGTTTTCTCTTCTCCCTTTGTAGTATCTCACTTGGTAATTTCATCAGTTCCCATGGATTTAATTACCGTTTATGTACTCATGATTCTCAAATCTCCCAACCTCTCTGCTGTCTTCCATTCTCACCTTTACCACTTCCTTTACAGACATCTTGAACAGGATGTCCAGTAAACATCTTAAACTCAGTATAGCCAAAATGGAATTCATCATCTTTTTCCCTAAACACCCCACCCTACCCCTTCTACCTTCCCTATTACTGTAGAGGGCAACACCATCCTCCCAGTCTCCCAGGCTCCCAATGTAGGAGTCATCTTGGACTCTTCACTCTCTTTCTCATCCCCCCATATCCAATCTGCTCCCAAGGCCTCTTGCTTTCACCTTTGTAACATCTCTCAAATACATCCCTTTCTCTCCTCTGACACTGCCACCACTCTGGTACAGGCCCTCACCACCTCACATCTGGATTGTTGCAATAACCTGTTGGTGGGTCTGCCTGTCTTAAATCTCTCCCCACTCCAATCCATCCTCCATTCAGTCACTGAAGTGATTTTCTTAATCACACACACACACCACCCCACTCAATAAACTCCAGTGGCTTCCTATTGCTTCCAGGATCAAATACAAAATATTCTGTTGGGCATTCAAAGCCCTTCCTAACCTAGCCCTTTCCTCCCTTTCCAGTCTTCTTGCTCCCTACCATGTACTCTTTGATTCAGTAACACTGGCTTCCTGGCTGTTCCATGAATAAGACCATATCTGGGCTCTAGGCAACTTTTCTGACTGACCCCATGCCTGGAACAGTCTTCCTCCTATGCCTTGCCTACTGATCTTTCTGACTTCTTTTAAGTCCCAACTTAAAAAGTCATCTTTTATTGGAAACTTTCCCCAACTCCTCTTAATTCTAGTGCCTTTCCTCTATTAATTATTTCCTATTTATCTTGTACCTAGCTTGCTTTGTATATGTTTGTCCCCCAGTTAATTGTAAACTCCTTGAGGGTTACAAAGTTGATGTCGCCTAAAGGGCATTGGAGTAGGAATCAGATTCCAGACTCAGCTCTGCAACGAATTAATTGATGGATAGATGGGTGGATAGAAAGCATTTTTGAGTACCAAGAACTGTGATAAGAGTTGTGCCTAAAGACACCTAGATAACACAGCAGTAGATAGAGTGCTGGACCTAAAGTCAGGAAGACCTGAGTTCAAATCTGGCCTCACACATTTACCAGCTGAGTGACCCTGGGCAAGTCACTTTACCTCTGCCTGCCTCCGTTTCCTCACCTGTAAAATGGGAAGCATAATACCACCTACTTCACAATTTTGTGGTGGGGATCATACATAATATGTGTAAGCACTTTACAAACCTTAAAAGATTGTAGAAATGCTATTATTGTTATCATCATCATCATCATCATCATCATCATTATTATTATTATATCGCTGCCACCTAGTGTATGCTTTGTGTATTAGGAAACAGTTGTGTTCCTGGTCTCAGACCAATTGAACTCTTCCTCATGAGATCATGAGTTCCTTGAGGGCAGGCACAGTTTGGTTTTTGCCTTTCTTTGTATCCATAGTGCTTAGCTCCATGCCTGCTACTTAGTGTTTAATACATATTGGTTGACTGACTGACTGGGGTTGCAAATACAAAAGTAAGACAATCCCTGACATCAAGGAGTCTACATTCTAATAGGAGAGATAACAGCCATAGGAAAGTCATGTCTGAAAAAGAGGTGACTTGAAAAGACACCAGGAAGGGGAGCTTTTCCCTAAGTTAGGAGCCCTGACAGAGCTAGAATGACCTTGAAGGAAAGGCAGTACATTGGGGCAGCTAGGTGGCGCAGTAGATAGAGCACTGGCCCTGGAGTCAGGAGGACCTGAGTTCAAATCCAGCCTCAGACACATAACACTTACTAACTGTGTGACCCTGGGCATGTCATTTAACCCCATTGCCTAACCAAAAAAAAGGAAGAGCTGGGAACAGCGATGAGCCGCCAAGATAGAGAGTGTCACGTGAGGAGACTCACCAATGGGGAGCCTGGGCCCCCAGGGTGAGAACCAGAGGTAAAAGTGTTAAGTCCTCCAGGGTGTAATTTCTAATATGCTCCCAGACATGCACCGCCCACTAACCTAGGTGAGAAAGTGAGTTTGAAAGAGTTTTGAAAAACCTCAAAACTTTATGTGTGGGAAAGGACTATCTCATATAAATGTATCTCCCCTAAGCCCAGAACAAGGGTTCTACTTAACTTAATGGATGGATGGATGGATGGATGATGAATGGATGGATGGATGGATGGCATAAATATTATATTCTTCTCTTTCACTGCAACAAAGAGGAGAAAATGCATCCCTCCCAGAAGAAATAACTGAAGAATATGGCCAGCAGATGGAAGTAAATGAAAGGAGGATAGTCACAGGCTAGGGGAGCTCAGAGGGGAAGTGGTAACAGGGACGGAAGGAAAACCAAACTTTTCTTTAAATAAATAGAATTCTGGTTTGAGAACAGAGAGCTTTCCCCAGAGCTTAGCCAGAGGACCCAAAGCAGCTATATGAGAAAGGAAAGTCCCACCAGGAGGGGTGATTGAGGGGCCGACGGGAACTGTGAGTCTTTTGTATTCTGTGTGTTATTCAAGAAAAGGGGGTTTGGGTCTGTCTTTTCTAGTCTGGAATCCCTCCTTGCTCTGGGAAGAGTCAAGAACAGGGAGGGCTGGACTGGGGGTATCCCAGGTCTTGCTTTGGGGTAACTCTGGGGGTAAAGTGGTGCCTGCCCACCAAGGAAAGCAAAGCTCAATCCATTCATTTTGCTCCTTCATCTTAATTGGGATTAAAAGGTATTCATTCTTCCCTTGGTTTTAGCTGGCATATCTTACACTGCTTTGGGGTGCACTTGTACCAAATGAATCTTGGGATGCTAAAGGGCAGAGGTGAGAGAGAAGGTCATTGCAAGCACCACTGAAAGCTTGGGCAGAGGCACGGAGCCAGGAGAGACAGCAGATGAAATATCGCATGATTCGTTGGCACTGTGGCACAGGGGGAGCAAAATAGTTCTGGAGTCAAAGGACCAGGATTCAAATTTTTCCTCTGATGCTTAAACACAGCCACTTAACTATCCTCTGGCCTCAGTCTCCTCTTCTGTAAAATGGGAACAATACTATCTGCCTCCCAGGGCTGGTATGTAAACCTTGAAGTGCTATGATGCTGTGAGTTATAGTTACTGTAACAGACCATAGAGATGGATTGTTTTGCCCAAAGTCAGTCAAACGCCTGGACAGGATGGCGTTATGCTGGTCCCTCTGTTCCTGGGTCGAATTGACTGAGCTGGGGCAAGGTTGCTGCATTCTCATTTGGGTGAGTGATGAAAGTAAAGTGGTGCCGTTAAGGGGACACCATCATTGTCATCATCAATGAGCATCTATTAAGCACCTACTATTTGCCGTAGGGGCCAAGGTCTGGGCCAAGGGTGGACCTACACATACAATAAGTGAAAGCATCCTAATTCATAAGGAACTTATATTTTAACAGGAGACAAAAGGAAAAAATATAAGAGCATACAAAATAGGAAGAGAATTCAAGTCAACACCAAGTAGTTAGCTCGCATTTAAGGTTTAAGGTTTTCCAAGATTTTTGCCAAATTTCTCATTTTATCCTTGCAATGATGCTGGGATAGAGGTGTTACTATTTTTGCTGGTTTACTGATGAGGAAACTGAGCATGACAGAGATTAAGTGACTTGCCTACCGTTACAAAGCTAGTATTTGAGGTCAGGTATGAACTTGTGTCTTCCTGACTCCAGTTCCAGTGCCCTAACCGCTGCACCACCTTGCTGCCTGGATAGGGAGAGAGTGCCAGCACTAGTAGCTGAGATTAGTCAAGATTTCCTGTGCTCAAAGGAAGAATCCCATTCACACTCAATATTCAACAAACTCCAGTGACTTCCTGTTACCTCCAGGATCAAACAGAATGTTCTGTTTGGCCTTCCAAGCCATTCCTAACCTAGCCCCCTCCTACCTTTCCAATCTTTTTACACGTTCCTCCCTGCTATGAACTCTTCAACCCAGCAACATTGGGCTCCTGGCTGTTCCATGAACAAAACTTTGCAGACATTTTCTCTGGCTGTCCCCCCATGCCTGGAGCATTCTCTCTCCTCCTCTTCACCTCCTGACCTCCTTGGCATCCTTAAGCCCCAACTGAAATCCCATCTTTTACTGGAAAACTCCCCCAACCTTTCTTAATTCTAGTGCCTTCCCTCTACTAATCATTTCTTAGTTATACTATATATAGCTTGCTTTGAATATATTTATTTACATGTTGTCTCCTCTATTAGATCAAGATTCTTGGGCAGTGCAGAGACTGTCTTTAGCTTCTTTTCATACCCTCAGTGCTTAGCACCGTACCTGGCACATAGCAGGTTTTTTTAATAAAACAAAAAAATTAAAATTAAAATTAATAAATGTTGATTATTTGAACAGGATGTTTTGAAATAGAAGTGAGGCAAGAGTATATTCAGGGCATGGGAGACATCCAGTAGAAAGGCAGGGTGATGGGAGGTGAGAGACAGTGTCATACGTGAGGATTGAGAGGCCAGTTTGGCTGGATTAAAGAGTAATGTTCAATGAAGGAGGTTGTTGTTGTTTTTGTTTTTCTTTGTGACCTCATTTAGGGTTTTCTTTGCAAAATACTGGAGTGGTTTGCCATTTCCTTCTCCAGCTCATTTGACAGATGAGGAAACTGAGGCAAATAAGGTCAAGTGACTTACCTAGGGTCACACAGCCAGTAAGTGTCTGAGGCCAGATTTCAACTCAGAAAGATGAGTCTTCCTGGCTCCAGTCTGGGTGCTCCATCCACTATGGCACCACCTGGAGGCTAATGGTGATGTCCAGTGAGGTTGGAAAGACGGTTTGGGGCTAGGTTGTGAAGGGTGTCAGTTTCATCCAGTTTGGCAGTTTGGTCAGCTATGGCCTGTACTCCTGATGATGCAGTTCAATTCAACAAGCATTCCCCAAGCTTATTCAGCACCCACTATCATGCCAGGCACTGAACACACAGACAAAAACAAAATCAGCCTGCCATCAAGCAGCTTCCTTTCTACTGGACAAAAGAGGTGGAGGAGAGACAAATGATACAAAATACAGATAAAACAAATGAGAGCAAGCCTGACAGTGGCTATCGGGCTATCCTCAAAGTCAGGAAGACCTGGGTTCCATTCCTGCCTTTGATGCAGACTAGAGGGGTGACCTTAGACCTCAGGCAATTCATTTAGCCTCTTGGGGATCCTTGCAGTAGTTGAAGATTGCGTGTTTCAGTACAGTTCTAATCCGGGTCTGTAGAAGGAATATCTCATTGGGTGTACCCTACACCAGTAATATCACAGGTCTGGAAACTTTGATTAGAGTTTCATTCCTTCAGCTTCTGACTCCGATTCTTGGTAACTGTAAGTGGCCCCCTGGGAATGAAGGTAATATTTTTCATTTATGAGTCATTTGTACTGTAAAGTGAATGAGTTTCAGATCCCTTCCTGAGATCAGATTTTGAAAGGGGGAAGCTGTTGAGGCCTCTGTGGACCTTAGAGGGTATCAGGTAATGAGCATAAAAATGATCAAGGGGATGAGGTCCAGGGACAAGTGCAAAATGCGGAGCTGGGAGCACCAAAGACCTCAACCACTTTTACAATTTCACCCAGGCCCAGTCCAGAGCATGCCCGTTATATTCATAGAGACCTCTAAATGCCTCTTCTGATGTCTCATCCAGGCGCAGGGGTGAACCTGGGCTGTCGAAGGCTTTGCCAGGGGAACGTGGCACTCTGGAAGATCCTGCCAAATGGGAAAGGCTCAGGGAGTGGGGGACCCTTGAACACTCCAAGTCTACTTCCCTGACCTCTATTCTGAGGAGCTCACCCCCAAGTTGTCCATAGAGTGACAGATTTTCAGACCATAGAAAATCTCATAGTCCTAAATTCTAAGAGGGTTTGAGATCTTCCAAAGGGGGAGGGGGCGAACATCTAGGCAAAATCACAGACTATTAAAGCATTGAAACATTGAAGTATAGATGAAAGAATCTTTATTTGCTCATCCATCTATCCATTCAACAAATACTTTCTGACCACCTCCTATGTGCAAGTCCCTTGTACACACCAGGTAAGTCATGATCCTTTGCTCTCCGGTCCCTCGTACTCCAGGAGGGGAAATAAGACCTAGAAGGAAGGAAAGATGAATGAACAAGCAACAAAAGTATTTAGCACTTACTCTGTGCAAAGTGCTGGGAGGACAAATAGAAAAAGGAAACAGTCCCTGACCTCAAGGAGCTGACGTTGTAAAAAGGGAGACAGCACTATGGAAGGTTTCAGCTACTCGTCAGAAGGAAAGACCCCATAGTTCTTAAGGACACAGATAACAGAAAAGAAAGGAATGAACAAAGTTCATATGTTACAGGGGTGGAGGTAAAGAGGCTCAAAAAAGGGCTTCATGGAAGGGGTGGTGCCTGATCTGGGCGTAGACTATTTCATCCTCACAATAACCCTGGGAGATAGAGACTATTATTATCCCCATTTTACAGATAAGGAAACAGAGGCAACAAGGGTTAAGTGATTTGCCCAAGGTCGCACAGCGAGTGTCTGAGGCCAGATTTGAACTCAGGTCTTACTGACTCTAGGCCCAGCGCTCTATCCACTGGGCCACCTATGACTGAACTACATGAAGATGGGTGTGTCAGGATAGTGTCAGAATATAGAGGTTAAGGAATTAACCCCCACACATTTAGGCTTCCTTATTCTGTGTTCATAAAGCATTTTCCTCTCAACGACCCTGTGAGATAGTAATTGCAAGTATGATAACCCTTATTTAACAATTTGAGTAAACTTAGGCTTCAAGAGGTAAACTAATTTGCCCAAGATTTAAAGAAAAAGCATCATGTGATATGATGGAAAAGGAGCATATTCTGGACCTGGATTCTAATTCTGCCTCTGAGGCTTACTACTCTCCTTCTTTCAAGTTGCTCCTTTTGGGTTTACACAGAGGAAGACCCTGAAGGAAAAGGATATGGGGCAGGTCAGCTTGATGGAGGAGCAAGGAATGGTTGAGAGCAGAGGCCATTACTG